CCTGAGAACCGGGGAGGGACAGAAGCCAAAGTGAAAACCAAGGGGCATTGCTGTGAGGTGGGGAGTGCAGGCCAGGGAGGTAGAGGACAAATGTTGACCACTCTCCCTTCTTTAGAAGCAGGGACAAGGCCAGGCACGGTGGCTCATTCCTGTAATCCCAGCACTTTGGGAGGCTGAGGCAGGCAGATCACGAGGTCAAGAGATCGAGACCATTCTGGCCCAAATGGTGAAACCCTGTGTGTACTAAAAATACAAAAATTAGCCAGGTGTAGTGGCGTGTGCCTGTAATCCCAGCTACTCGGGAGGCTGAGGCAGGAGAATTGCTTGAGCCCAGGAGGTGGAAGTTGCAATGAGCTGAGATCGCACCACTGCACTCCAGCCTGGTGACAGGGTAAGACTCCATCTCAAAAAAAAAGAGCAGGGACATGAGGCACAGAGAGAGGGAGAGTAACAACCTTAAGCCAAGCTGCTGGTGCGTGGCAGAGCTAAGACTCGAACCCCGCCCTGCTGACTTCAAGTAGTGCTTTCCACACAGCTGCTCTGCCCAGGGAGAGGCCTCAGACACAAGAAGGATCCTGGAGTCCCTACTCAGAGGCCTTCCTTTTACTTGTTATTTTAAAATTTTATTTATTTGTTTTTTGAGACAGTCTCTGTCACTCATGCTGGAGTGCAGTGGTGCAATCTCAGCTCACTGCAACCTCTGCCTCCTGGGTCCAAGCGATTCTCTTGCCTCAGCCTCCTGAGTAGCTGAGATTTCAGGTACCCACCGCTATGGCTGGCTAATTCTTATATTTTTAGTAGAGATGGGGTTTCCCCATGTTGGCCAGGCTGGTCTCAAACTCCTGGCCTCAAGCGATCCACACACCTCAGCCTCTCAAAGTGCTGGGATGACAGGTGTGAGCTACCAGGACGGGCAGAGGCCTTTCATTTAAATAGTAAGATGTTGGTGGAGGCGATCCTTCCCACAAACTGGGCTTTAGTCAGTGGCTCTGAGAAAGGAAAGAGCGATACTCTTTGCCCTGGGAGTCTTCTATCTTTTCTTTAAAGAAAAATTCCTCTCCTTCCCAGTCATTCCAGGCCTTGCCAAGCATCCTTGGGGCTCCAGACAGCATTGCTGCTTGACAGATGAGGTCAGTTCAGTGGCAGCTGAGGTCCAGAGTGTCTCACAGAGCAACACTGTGACCTGCCCAGGGTTCATTGCAAATCGTCAGCACAGGCCTTTCATTCTGGGCTCCTTCATCCGCCCTCCCGCCTTCCCTCCCTTGGGCTGGAAGGCAGATGGAGCAGCCAGGAAAAGCACAAGACAGTCTGGTGACTGAGAAAAAACCAGGTTTCCGTCTGGGGCTCTGTTGCTGGCCTGGGGCAGCCAGGCCGTCTCCTTGGGGCCCTGGGCTCTGAGTCTTGTCGGCTCTGCCCTGTCCTCCATCACACCCTGAGCATAAACTGTCTGTTCCCCATATGTGATCATTTCGGTTCAGCTGCTTCCTCTTTCTGAATTAGTTTCTTTTCCGTTTTTGATTTTTCTTTTCTTTTCTTTTTTTGAGGCAGGGTCTCACTCTGTTGCCCAGGCTAGAGGGCAGTGACATAATCATGGCTCACTGCAGCCTTGACCTCCTAGGCTCAAGCCATCCTCCCACCTCAGCCTCCTGATCTGCTGGGACTACAGGTGCATGCCACCATGCCTGGCTAATTTTTGTATTTTTTGTAGAGACGGGGTTTTGCCATATTGCCCAGACTCATCTTGAATTCTTGGGCTCAAGCAGTCCTCTCGCCTTGGCCTGCACCACCATGCCCAGCCTCTGAATTAGTTTCAGTCACATTTGGTATGAGGTTGAATTGTGTCCCTAAAAAGAAACGTTCAAGTCCTAATACCCAGAACCTGTGAATACGGCCTTTTCGTAAATAAGGTCTTTGCTGATATGATCAAGTTGAGATAGTTAGACTGGATTAGGTAAGATTCTAAACCCAGTGACTGATGTCCTTATAAGAAGAAAATTTGGGCTGGGCATGGTAGCTCACACCTGCAATCCCAGCACTTTGGGAGGCTGAGGTGGGCAGGTCACCTGTGGTCGGGAGTTGGAGACCAGCCTGACCAACATGGTGAAACCCTGTTTCTACTAAAAATACAAAATTAGCTGGCTTGGTGGCACATGCCTGTAATCCCAGCTACTCAGGAGGCTGAGGCAGGAGAATCACTTGAACTTGGGAGGCGGAGGTTGTGGCGAGCTGAGATTACGCCATTGCACTCCAGCTTGGGCAACAAGAGCAAAACTCCATCTCAGAAAAAACAATCTGGACACGGACACTCATAGTTTGGAGAAAGAGGAGGAAAAAAAAAAAAAAAAAAACAAGAGAGAGACATGCACAGAGAAATGATGATGCAAAGCCACAACCCAGGGAGAAGGCTGCATGGTGGAGGCAGAGATGCATCTGTGAGTGAAGGGATGCCAGGTGCCGCGACACCGGGGAGCTGGGAGGAGCAAGGAGGGCTCCTCTCTCCCAGGGGCTTCAGAGAGGGCTTGGCCCTGCCCACACCTAGATTTTGGACTTGTAGCCTCTGAAACTACGAGAGAATACATTATTTCTCCTGTTTTAAGCTTCTCAGCTTGTGGTAATTTGTTGCAGCAGCCCTGTGAAATGAATACAGGGGTAGAGAGAGGGTTAACAAAGTCACACATGTCACAAGGAACCATAGAAAGACTGGGACAATGCTGAACTCAGACAATGGCTTGTTCACTTTCATTATTTAATTTATTTTTTTGAGACAGGGTCTGGTTCTGTCACTCAGGATGGAGTGCAGTGGTGCGATCTTGGCTCATTGCAATCTCAGCCTCCCAGGTTCAAGCCATTCTTGTGCCTCAGCCTCCCGAATAGCTGGGATTACAGGCATGCACCACCATGCCTGGCTAACTTCTGTATTTTTAGTAGAGACAGGGTTTCACTGTGTTGACCAGGCTGATCTCGAACTTCTGGCCTCAAGTGATCCGCCTGCCTTGACCTCCCAAAGTGCTGGGATTATAGGTCTGAGCCACTGTGCCCGACCCTCTTCTATTGTTATTATTTTTTAGACAGGGTCTTGCTCTGTCACCCAAGCTGGAGTGTAGTGGCGTAATCACAACTCACTGCAGCCTCGATCTCCCAGGCTTCAGTGATTCTCCCGCCTTCACCTTCCAAGGAGCTGGGACAACAGGTGCACGCCACCATGTGTGGCTAATTTTTGTATCTTTGGTAGAGGAAGGGTTTCACCATGGGGCAAAACTGGGCCCAGTAGTGGCCAGGAGAGGTCATGACCTCCCTGTGACTTGACGAGATGACACAGAGGCTAAAGGGCTGACTGTGGGTCGGTGAGAAAGTCACCTACCACCCAGGGACAACTGTTCTATGACAGAGCCAGGATGTAACCCTGAGCTGGTTGCCCAGGCTAGTCTCAAACCCCGACCTCAAGTGATCTGCCCACCTCAGCTTCCCAAAGTACTGGGATTACGGGTGTGAGCCACCGTGCCCAGACTTGAACTTGGGAGGGCTACCTCACCTTTCGTAGCCTGAAGGTCTACAGGGTGGCTGTCCATAAATACTAGGAGTTGTCTAGGGCCCTTGCCTGGATGCAGGGGGAAGATGAACACTGTCTTCAAACACACGAAGGCTGTCCTGAGGACAAGGCATCCAACCTATTCTTCTGTTTTAAGCACCTCAGGGGAGAAGTTAAACTGAGGAAGAACAGGCCTCAATCGGGGAAGACCTTCCTATTAGTGAGACCTGCCCAGCCATGGCCAGGAGAGGTCATGAGCTCCCGTGACTGGAGGAGATGACAGAGGCTGAAGGGCTGACGGCAGGTCAGTGAGAAAGTCACCCACCACCCGGGGACAGTGTTCTATGACAGAGCCAGAACTTAACCCTGAGCTGCCTGACTGCAAAGCTCAGCTTTCTGATCTCTGAAATGGATAGGAACATGGTGAAAATTCAATGTGGGAGGCCCTTCCTAGTGCTAACATTTTCTTTTTCTTATGAAATTATCTACATTTTAGCATCCTCTAGTTTCTTCCACAGGTTACGGAAAGGTTGGTTATTTGGAATCCAAAACAAATTTCCTAAAGAAACAAGTCCATGGTCGGTTCTCAGACCTCCCTTGGAGATTCATAACTCACCACGGCCTGAACGAAAGCCCCATCTCCCCCAGCTCTGAACCCTTAGCAGGGATTCCCTGGGCCAGGTTCCATCTTGGGACTGACTTACCATCTCACCCACCCTCTCCCCTTTCTGTGTCACAGAGTGACCCACTGTCCCAGCTTACCCAGGACTGAGGGGTTTCTGGGGACATAGCACTTTCAGTGGCTAAGCCAGGAAAGTCCTGGGCAAGCTGGGAGGGGCTGATCACCCTCCTTGGTGATGAGCCCACAACAGAGGCCCCAACTGGGCTGCAGGCAATGTGGAAATCCCGGAGCGGATCTGCAGGCAGAAGATGAAGGAACTGTGCCTGTGTGTTTACCACCAGCTCTGAGACTCAGGGGCCCAAGTCGCTCTGCTTTGGGGCCCAGTTTCAAGTGCAGCACAGGCTTGGAGAGAAGAGACTCCTTACTTCAGATTAAACGTGGCTGGGCCACTAGCAAAGCCTGCAGGGCCAGCAGCACTATGAGGCGGGGCAGCTTTCCCACATCACGACTGCAGGCCTTTATAAGAGTACCAGCCTTCCTGGGGCACCAGCGGCCTAGAGCGAGGGAGGCACTGCCCTCACATAGCTCCTCAAACAGCTGAGTCAGAGAGGGGTTCTGTGGGGGAGCAGGGGAGTTTGCCTGACTCTTCCCATGAGATACATCAGGAGCTCCTGGCTGACAGGGGAGAGGGAGAGCCCTGCAGGCTGGGGCCTGGGCCGGTGAAAAGGGAGGAGGCTGGCAGAGCCTGGCTGAAGCCACAGTCTCAGAGGATGGGGAGTCTCAGTTAACAACGTCAGCTCCACCAGGCCTCTGACCTCCTCCTGGCCTTCTCTTTCCTCCCACTTCCAGGCAGTCTGGGGCCCGATGGAGTCTCCTGCCAGGGTACCTCCAGAATCCTTCCAGTCCTTTCCCTGACCACTGCCAGCCCGGCACAGGCCCTGTGCAATCTCCTAAACAATTCCCTGATGCCCTCCCTGCCAGCCTCATCCCCTGCCCTCCTCCCATCCTGCGCCAAGCCCCAGCCGCTGTGTAGCCCTGCGTTTTCCCAGAGGCGCAGGTTACAGGCCTGTCACCTTCCCGACTTGGGTAACTTCTAAGCAACTTTGAAGATTTTTGCAGGTATGTATTAGTCCGTCCTCACACTGTTATAAAGAACTACCTGAGACTGGGTAATTCATAAAGAGAAGAAGTTTAATTGACTCACGGTTCCACAGGCTATACAGAAAGCATGGCTGGGGAGGCCCTCAGTAAACTTACAATCATGGCAGAAGGTGAAGGAGAAGCAAGCACCTCCTCACATGGTGACAGGAGAGAGAGTGAAGGGGGAAGTGCTACACAGTTTTAAACAACCAGATCTCATGAGAATTCCATCACCAGAACAGCAAGGGGGAAGTCTGCCCCCATGATTTAATCAGAGCCCCCACACAGAGTCCCTACTGGGGCATTACATAGTGGAGCTGTGAGAAGAGGGTCAGCATCCTCTAGACCACAGAATGGTAGATCCACCTACAGCTTGCACCATGCACCTGGAAAAGCCATAGACATACAATGCCAGCCTGTGAAAGCAGCCAGAAGCGGGGATATGCCCTGCAAAGCTACAGGGACAGAGCTGCCCAAGACCATAGGAACCCACCTCTTGCATCAATGTGACCCTGATGTGAGGCATGGAGTCGAAGGAGATCATTTTGGAGCTTTGAGACTTGACTGCCCTGCTGGATTTCAGACTTGCCTGGGGCCTGTAGCCCCTTTGTTTTGGCCAATTTCTTTCACGTGGAATGGCTGTATTTACCCAATGCCTGCCCCCCTATCGTATCTAGGAATTAACTAACTTGCTTTTGATTTTACAGGCTCATAGGTGGAAGAGACTTGTCTCCAATGAACTTTGGATTGTGTACTTCTGAGTTAATGCTGAAATGAGTTAAGACTTTGGGAGACTGTTGGGAAGGCATGATTGCTTTTGAAATGTGAGGATGTGAGATTTGGGAGGGGCCAAGGGCAGAATGATATGGTTTGGCTGTGTCCCCACCCAAATCTCATCTTGAATTCCCAGCGTTGTGGGAAGGTCCCAGTCTGAGGTAACTGATTCATGGGGGCAAATCTTTCCCGGGCTGTTCTTGTGATAGTGAATAAGTCTCATGAGAACTGATGGTTTTAAAAAGAGGAATTCACCTGCACAAGCTCTCTCTCTTTACCTGCCACCATCCATGTAAGACATGATTTGCTCTTTCTTGCCTTCCACCATGACTGTGAGGCTTCCTCAGCCATGTGAAACTGTAAGTCCAATTAAACCTCTTTCTTTTGTAAATTGCCCAGTCTTGAATATGTCTTTATCAGCAGTGTGAACACAGACTAATACAGTTAGCTTCTAGAAGTTTTATAATTTTTGCATTGTACATTTAGATGTATGAACCATTTTCAGTTAGTTTTTGTAGAAGATTTGTGTGTAGATTCTTTTTTTTTTTTGGTCCATTGAATTGCTTTTGTTCCTGTGTGGGTCTGTTTCTGGGCTCTCCATTCTGTTCCATTGATCCATGTGTCCATTGTTTTATCAATTCCAGGCTGTCTTAATTTCTGTGGCTTTGTAGTAAGTCTTGGAGTCAGGGGATGTCAGCCCTCCAACTTTATAGTTGTTTAGTGTTTTCATTTTTGGAAGGTTATTAATTATTGAATCAATTTCTTTAATAGACATAGGCTTATATAGATTATTATTTCTTGTGTGAGCTTTGGTAGTTTATATCTTTCAAGAAATTGGGCTATTTCATCTAGGTTATCAAATTTATGGAAATAATTGTTCATGATATTCCTTTATTATCCTTTTCATATCCATGGGATCAGTATTGATGACCTCTCTTTAACTCCTGAAATAAGTCCCCCATTGTTAGTGGTTTCAATTTCTGTGAACATTAGTTATCTGTTAGACAAGAGTTTAAAAATATTAAATGGAAAATTCCAGAAATAACAATTCATAAGTTTTGAAGCACGCACGCTTCTGAGTAGCATAATGAAATTTTGCACTGTCCTGCTCCATCCAGCCCCAGATGTAAATCATCCCTTTTGTCCAACATGTACATGCTGTGTATGCCGCCTGCCCGTTAGTGATCAATATCATTTGCTCCTGACATGCTGTCATCAGCGTCATTATGGTTTGATGATCCAGGATCACCTGAAGCAGATGATCCTTCCTTCTGATGTATTGTGGCCTAACAATATATCCCAATGTTGAAATGGCTACTGCAAAATTATAACTGAGACAGTGAAAGAGATCTGACCTGGCCGGGTGCTGTGGCTCATGCCTGTATTCCCAGCACTTTGGGAGGCCGAGGTGGGGGAATCACCTGAGGTCAGGGGTTCAAGACAAGCCTGGCCGACATAGTGAAACCCCATCTCTAGTAAAAATACAAAAACTAGCCAGGGGTGGTGGTGCATGCCAATAGTCCCAGCTACTCAGAAGGCTGAGGCAGGAGAATCACTTGAACCAAGAAGGCAGAGGTGGTAGTGAGCTGAGATCCTGTCACTGCACTCCAGCCTGGGCGACAGAGTAAAAATTCACTTCAAATTTAAAAGCAAAATGTCAGCAAAAAAAAAAAGGGGAGATCTGACCTAACCAACTCCATCTTACTTTTAACCTCCAAGATATCCTTGTTCATTCCCGGCCATAGGACAAACTATTAATAACTTTATTAATAACTTTGGGGAGGAACTTGGTTTAGAGTTTAAAACAAAGATGATAACAGCCTTTTCCTAAAACAAAGCCCCTTCTTGGCAGGGGACTAGGCTGCCTTTGTAGGATTAACAAATTAGCCAAAAGATTGGAAATTATGGTTTAGGAGTTATGCAGCTGGAAACTACAAGATTCTGACCCTTGGCTGGGTGCGGTGGCTCAAGCCTGTAATCCCAGCACTTTGGGAGGCCGAGGCGGGTGGATCACAAGGTCAAGAGATCGAGACCATCCTGGTCAACATGGTGAAACCCCGTCTCTACTAAAAATACAAAAAAATTAACTGGGCATGGTGGCGCGTGCCTGTAATCCCAGCTACTCAGGAGGCTGAGGCAGGAGAATTGCCTGAACCCAGGAGGTGGAGGTTGCGGTGATCTGAGATCGCGCCATTGCACTGCAGCCTGGGTAACAAAAGTGAAATTTTGTCTCTAAAAAAAAAAAAAAAAAAAAAAAAAAAAAAGATTCTGACCCTCCCCAAAGTGATACTGGAGAAACCATCACTATTGCAAAACCTAAGATCAGTGCTTGAGATATTCTGCAGATCAGCCGGCACCACCCAGATGGATAAACTGTCTCACCTGATCTTGTGGCCCCTAGGAACCGACTCAGCATAAGAGGACGGCTTCGACTCTGTTTTTTTGTTTGTTTTTTGGATTTTTTTTTTTTTTTGAGACAGGATCTCACTCTGTCCCGCAGGCTGGAGTGCAGCAACACGATCTCGGCTGACTGCTATCTCTACCTCTCAGGCTCAAGGGATCCTCCTGTCTCAGCCTCTAGAGTAGCTGGGACCACAAGTGTGAACCAACACACCTGGCTAATTTTTGTATTTTTTGTAAAGATGGAGTTTTGCCATGTTGCCTAAGCTGGCCTGAAACTTCTGAGCTCAATCAATCAGTCTGCCTCAGCCTTCCAAAGTACTGGGATTACAGGTGTGAGTCACCACTGCCTGGCCCCATGATTTCATCTCTGATCCAACCAATCAGCACTCCCAAGTCACTGGATCTCTACTCACCAAATTATCCTTAAGAACTCTGATCCCTGAATGCTTGGGGAGACTGATTTGAGTAATAATAAAACTCCAGTTTCCAGCGTAGCTGGCTCTGTGTGAATTACTCTTTCTTTATTGCAATTCCTCTGTCTTGATAAATTGGCTCTTTGTAGGCAGAAGGTAAGGTGAGCTCACAGGGCGGTTACAATAACTACGTCATTTGCCTCACTTCATCTCGATGTGGAGGCATTTTATCATGTCACATCATCACAAGAAGAAAAAGGATGGTCACAGTACAATATGATATTTTGAGAGAGAAAGAGAGAGAACATACCACATAATTTTTATTGCAGTATATTGATATAACTGTCCTATTTTATTATTATTCTATTCTATTATTCTTACTGTGCCTAATTTATAAATGAAACTATATTTTAGGTACCCATCAGGGATCTTGGAACCTATCCCTTGCCATTAAGAGGGGACTACTGTATTTGTAATTTGTGCCTTCTGTTTTTCCCAGTTAGCCTGGATGTTGGTTGATCATTTTTATTAATCTTTTAAAAGAACAAGATTTGGATTTTATTTATTTTCTCTATTTTCTGTTTACAGTTTCATTGGTTTCTGCTCTAATTTTTATTATTCCTTTTCCTCTGCTTGCTCTGGGCTTAAATTGCCCTTTTTTTCCTCTAGTTTTTTTAAGGGAAAAACTTACGCTATTGATTTTAGATCTTTCTTTTTTTAAATATATGCATTCAATGGTATAAATTTCCCTCTAAAGACTGCTTTCACGGCATTCAACAAATTTTGATGATTTGTATGTATTTTCATTTTCATTTTCTTTTTTTTTTTTTTTGAAACAGGGTCATGCTCTGTCACACAGGCTGGAGTACATCAGTATGATCATGGCTCACTGTAGTAACTTCAAACTCCCAGGCTCAAGTGATTCTCCCAGCTCAGCCTCCCAAGTAGCTGAGACTATAAGCATGCATCACCACACTTGGCTAATTTTTTCTTTTTTTCTTTTTTTTTTTTTTTTTCTTTTTAGAGATAGGTCTCACTTTGTTGCCCAGGCTGGTCTCAAACTCCTGGGCTCAAGCACTCCACCTTCCTCAGCCTCCCAAAGTGCTGAGATTATAGGTGTGAGGCACTGTGCCCAGCCTCATTTTTATATAGTTCAAACTATGTATAAATTTCTCCTGAGACTTCTTCTTTGATCTATGTGTTACTTAGAAGTGTGCTGTTTAATCTCCAAACATTTTGGGACTTTCCAGCTATCTTGGTGTTACTAATTTCTAGTTTAGTTCTGTTGTGTTCTGAGAACATATTTATACAAGAACAGGATTCTATCCTGGACATTGTGCATATTAGGTTGCAGACGCTCTGGTTTCTGTTACAGCCATCTGAAATGTGTTGATTTTTTTTTACTAGGCAATTAACTTAAAGCTCTGCTCTTGGGTGGCAGCTCAAACCTCAGTTCAGTTCTTTTCCTCTGTTAAAGAAG